GCTTTTTCTGTATCTATTGAAGTGATCATACGATTTTTGTTTTTAATTCTGTTTATGTGGTGTATCACATTTATTTACTTGCATGTGTTAAACCATCCCTGCATCTCTGGTATGAAACCCACTTGATCATGGTGGATTATCTTTTTGCTATGTTGTTGGATTTGGTTAGCAAGTATTTTGTTAAGGATTTTAGCATCTATGTTCAAGGACAACAGTTTGCAGTTTTCGTTTTTGGTTATGTCCTTTCCTGGTTTTACTATTAGGGTGATGCTAGCTTCATAGAATGAATTAGGGAGGGTTCCTTCTTTCTCTATCTTGTGGAATAGTGTCAAAAGGATTGGTACCAATTCTTCTTCGAATGTCTGATAGAATTCTGCTGTGAATCCATCTGGTCCTGGACATTTTTTTGTTGGCAATTTTTAAATTACCATTTCAATCTGGCTGCTTGTTACTGGTTTTTTTGGGATACCCAATTCTTCCTCATTTAAGCTAGGAGGGTTGTATTTTCCCAGGAATTTATCCATCTTTTCTAGGTTTTCTATTTTATGTGTGTAAAGATGTTCATAGTAGCCTTGAATGATCTTTTATATTTTAGTGGTTTCAGTTGTAATATCTTCTGTTTCATTTCTTAGTGAAGTTATTTAGATTTTTTTCTCTTCTTAATCTTGCCAATGGTCTATAAATTTTATTTATCTTTTCGAATAACTAGCTTTTTGTTTAATTTATCTTTTGTTAATTTTTGGTTTCCAATTTCATTTAGTTCTGCTCTGATCTTGGTTATTTCCTTTCTTCTGCTGGGTTTGGGTTTGATTTGTTCTTGTTTCTCTAGTTCCTTGAGGGGTGACCTTAGATGTCAGTTTGTGCTTTTTCAGTCTTTTGATTTAAGTATTTAGGGCCATGAACTTTCCTCTTACCACTGCCTTTCCTATATCCCAGAGGTCTTAATAGGTTGTGTTATTATTGCCATTCAGTTCTAAGAATTTTTTAATTTTCATCCTGATTTCATTTTTGGCCCAACACTCATTCAGGAGCAGGTTATTTAATTTCCATGTGTTTGCATGGTTCTGAAGGTCCCTTTTGGAGTTCATTTCCAGTTTTATTCCACTGTGGTCTGAGAGAGTACTTGATATAATTTCAATTTTCTTAAATGTATTGAGGCTCATTATATGGTCTATCTTGGAGTAAGTTCCATGAGCTGTCAAGTAGAATGCATATTCTCTGTTGTTGGATGAAATGTTCTGTATATATCTGTTAAGTCCATTTGTTCCAAGGTATAGTTTAAATCCATTGTTTGTTGATTTTCTGTCTTGATGATCTATCTAGTGCTGTCAGTGGAGTATTGAAGTCCCCCACTATTATTGTGTGGCTATCTATCTCATTCTTTAGGTCTAATAGTAATTATTTTATAAATTTGAGAGCTCCAGTGTTATGTTTAGAATTGTGATATTTTCCTGTTGGACAAGGAAAATAGATTATATAATGGTATAATGTCCTTCTTTGTATCTTTTAACTGCTATTGCTTTGAAGTATTCTTTGCCTGATATAAAAATAGCTATCCCTGCTTGCTTTTGGTGTCTATTTAGATGAAATGCCTTTTTCCACCCCTTTACTTTAAGGCTATGTGAGTCTTTATCTGCTAGGTAAGTGTCCTGAAGGCAGCAGATGGTTGGTGAGTTTTTATCCATTCTGCAATTCTGTATCAATGTTAGTGTTGAAATGTGAAATACAATTGCATTCATCATGCTCTTTGTTGTCTATGTACTTTGGTTTTTTCGTTTTTTGTTTTTGCTTTTTAACTCATATTTTTGTTGTATAGGTCCTGTGTGATTTATGCCTTAAAGAGGTTCTGTTTTGATGTGTTTCCAGGATTTGTTTCAAGATTTAGAGCTCCTTTTAGCAGTTCTTGTAGTGGTGACTTGGTAATGGTGAATTCTGTCAACAGTTGTTTGTCTGAAAAAGACCATATCTTTCCTTCATGTAAGATGCTAGTTTCACTGGATACAAAATTCTTGACTGATGATTGTTTTGTTTGAGGAGGCTGAAGGTAGGGCCCCAATCCCTTCTAGCTTGTAGTGTTGACGCTGAGAAATCTGCTGTTAATCTAATAGGTTTTTCCTTACAGGTTACCTGGTGCTTCTGTCTCACAGCTCTTAAGATTCTTTCCGTCTTCTTAACTTTGGATAACTTGATGACAATGTGCCTAGGTGAAGATCTTTTTGCGGTGAATTCCTGGGTGTTCTTTGTGCTTCTCATATTTGGATGTCTAGGTCTCTAGCAAGGCCAGGGAAGTTGTCCTTGGTTATTCCCCCAAATATGTTTTCAAGCTTTTAGAATTCTCTTCTTCCTCAGGAACACTGATTATTCTTAGGTTTGGTCGTTTAACATAATCCCAGACTTCTTGGAGGCTTTGTTTGTATTTTCATATTCTTTTTTTGTCTTTGTTGGGTTGGGTTAATTCGAAGACCTTTTCTTGAAGCTCTGAATTTCTTTCTTCTACTTGTTCATTTCTATTGTTGAAGCTTTCCAGAGCATTTTGCATTTCTAAAAGTGTATCCAAAGTTTCCTGAATTTTTTATTGTTTTTTCTTTAAGCTATCTATTTCCTTGAATATTTCCCCCTTCACTTCTTTTGTCATGTTTTGGATTTCCTTGCATTGGGCTTCCCTTTCTCTGGTCCCTCCTTAATTAGCTTAATAACTAACCTCCTGAATTATTCTTCAGATAAATAAGCGATTTCTTCTTGGTTTGGAATCATTGCTGGTGAACTAGTATGATTTTTTTGGGCAGTTTTGAAGAGCCTTGTTTTGTCATGTTACCAGGGTTGGTTTTCTGGTTCCTTCTCATTTGGGTAGGCTCTGTCAGAGGGAAGGTCTAGGGATGAAGGCTGTTGTTCAGATTCTTTTGTCTCGTGACGTAGTACTCTCCCCCTTTTCCTATGGGTGTGGCTTCCTTTGAGCCAAACTGAAGTGATCGTTGTTTCTCTTCTAGGGCTTGAAAACCTGCCCCAGGCTATCTGCCTCCCAGCTGGGAAAGAAAAGGGCTTGGTTCTTCCCCCACCTGCGGAGTCTGCACACCAGATTTGCATCCTCCCCTGAGTTCTGGCCAGGAGGCTTTTCGCCTCATTCAAATTGTTAACGAAGTTCAGCTAGAGATCTGCTTTTGCCTGTGTGGTTTTACCCTCTGCTCCTCTCTCATTGGATCCCTGTGGTGCCAGGCAGGAATGGCCTGCTGGGGGACCTAGCCAGCTCCCAGGGCCTTTCTACTGTTTCCTCTACCCCTGTATTTTGCTCAGCTTTCTAAACTGACTCGGCTCCAGGTAAAGTCAGAAACTTCTCCCACAAACAGACTTTCGGCCTCTCCAGTGGGGGTGTGTGTGACATGGCAATTGTCCCATAAACTGCATACCTCGACCATACCTCGGCTTTCCGTTGAAACTGCTCTCTGTAACCCTAATGTGACAGGCAAGCAGTCCAAACCCACACCATCTTGGCCCTTGCGACTTGTAATAAGTAACTAAGGTCTGTAACTTCCACCCTACCCAGACAATGTGTAAACTAACGCTTATCTTGACTTCTGTGAACCACTTAAGTAACAATCGGAATGCCCAAAGTCCTCTGGCCCTGGGAATGTCCAAAGCCCCTCACCCTCACTCCTGACCAGGAGGTGGTTTACGGACATAAAAGGTCTTGACACCCTCCTTTTGGGGCCACGGGTTAGAGAGACGCAAGTCCTCTGTGGCCGCTGGCAATAGAGACCCTGTAATTTGGCCTAGTCTTTGTCTCAGTGGTGATTTCATGCTTGCTTGGTTACAACAGTATGTTCAGAGAGGAGGGTCTCCCTCTCCCACTTCCACAGTTGGGGCACTCACAATTTTGGGGGGGTCTCCTGCGTCCTGCAGGAGCAGTCCACTTCCTTCAGAGGGTCTGTGGGTCCTCTTGGGATTGCTGGTTTGTTCTTTCAGTCAATCTAGAGCTAAAATTCACAACGTGAGCTGCTGCCCGCTGCTCTGTCTGGAGCTGCAATCTAGTCCTGACTCCCACCTGCCAGGATCTCCCTTCAGTCACAATTCCTCTTTAAGCAGTACGGTATGAGAGTATCCTTGACTTCAAGTACCCAACAGAGAGAGAAGAGCTCATTGGTATTTCCCTGGTAATCACTGAGGTTGGCATCTTTTCCTATACAGCTAGTGCTCGACTTACGACCACGATTGGTTCCGACAGACCAGTACTAACACGATTGGGTCATAAGTTGAGTAGGCTATATGCACGTGGAGATGGTTGTGCTGCCGGAAGCTGGTCCGCACTGTTGTATGCCCAGCTGGGCAACGTTTGCGCTGCCAGACGCGATTGTGGTTGTAAAGTCGAATGGTCGTAAGTTGCATAGGTCGTAAGTCGATCAATACCTATATTCACTGATGATTTGAAGTTGCTTTCTATGTTGTTTATTCATCTCGGTACCAACTGATTTGTCTTTTTGTTGCTTATCTTTTTCTTGCATTTCTGTCAGAGTTCTTTGTATATTAGAGACATTAGTCTTTTATAAATTATAGTCATCATTTGTATTTATTTCCTAATCTATTATTTTTTTAACCTTATTTATGGGCTCTTTTAATATACATACTGTTTCATAACAGTTTTATTGAGAGGTAAGTCACATTTTAAAGGTTATAATTGAGTGGATTTTAGTATGTTGGTTGTGCGATCATTGTTAAAATGTGCACTCTGAATGAAGAGACCCCCAAACAGGCTTTGTGTGAGCAACATGGCTGTTTATTCACCTGGGTACAGGCGGGCTGAGGCCGAAAAGGGCATCAGCGGAGGGTGGAGGGGTAGGGCTTGGTTTTATAGGTTTGGGGTAAACAGTGGAAAGTTACAGAAGTAACTTTAGGATGTTTTTCTGCAAGCTGGGAGGGGGTTGTAGGTTTGCAAGCTGGGAAGGTGGTCGGAGGATGTGGAGTCATGAGGTTGGCCAAGTTGGGAGGGGGTCATAGGGAGTCAGGAGGCTGGCCAAGGTCGGTTACAAAGTCCAATGGCCTTGTCAATTGAGGCCGGAATAAGAAACAGCAGAAGAATGTCTCAGGTTAGTTAGGCGCAGCAGGGTTGTTCATTTCTTCCAGGAACTCATGTGGGGTGTATGTGCAGGTCATAGAGATTACCATGCCATCCAGTGTGGTCAGATCTTACAATCATCACCCAGTATCTAATTTCAGAACATTTCCATCACCCCAAAAAGAACACTGTATCCATTAGTACCCTTACTTCTAAATAAGAAGCCTTACTTGTTACTCCCCCATTGTCCCTGCCCCTTACAATCACTAATACAATTTCTGTCTCTATAAACTTGCCTATTCTGGACATTTCATACAAATGGAATCACATGATATATGGCCTTTTATAACTGGCTTCTGTCATTTAACCTAACATTTTCAAGATTCATCCATGTTCTAGCATATATCAGTACCTTGTTCCTTTTCATGGCTGAATAATAACTCTTTGTATGGATAGAACGCATTTTGTTTATCTGATCACCTGTTGATAAATTCTTGGCTTGTTTCCATTTGTTGGCTGTTACAAGTTACTGCTATAAATATTCATGTACAACTTCAGTTGCTTCTACTTTTTGGCTATTATGAATAATATTGCCATGAACATTCATATATAACTTCTGTGACTATGTTTTTATTTATCTAGGGCATATACCTAGGAGTGAAGTTGTTAGGCCTTAGGGTAACTCCTTGTTTAATATTTTGAGAAACTGACAAACTCTTTTCCAAAGCAGCTGCACCGTTTCACATTCCTAATGTATGAGGGTTTCAATTGCTCCGTATCCTCACCAATACTTATTATCTGCCTTTTTTATTATACCCATCCTAGTAGGTATGAAGTGGTATCTTATTGTGATTTTTATCAGCATTTCCCTAATGACTAATGATGTTGAGTATCTTTTCATTTGCTTATTGGCCATTTATATATCTTATTTGGAGAAATGTCTATTCAGAGATCCTTTGTCCATTTAAAAATTGGGTTGTCTTTTTGTTGTTGAGTTGCAAGAGTTCTTTATATAGTCTGGATACAAGTTCCTTGTCGGGTATATACTTTGCAAAATTTTGTGCCCATTCTGTGGGTTGTGTTTCAATTTTCTTGATGGTGTCTTTTGAAGCACAAGCATTTTTGTTTTGATATAGTCCAATTTGTTTATTTTTTCTTTTGTTTCTTACGCTTTTAGTGTCATATCTAAGAAACCACTGCTGAATCCAAGGTCATGAAGATTTAATCTTATGTTTTGTCCTAAGAGTTTTATAGTTTTACCTCTTATATATATATGATCCATTTTGAGTTAAATCTTCTATGTGAGTTGAGATAGGGGTCCAAATTCATTCTTTTGCATATGGATATCCAGTTGTCCCAGCACCATTTGTTGAAAAGACTATTCTTTTCCCATTTAATTGTCCTGCATTTCTGCCTCACTGATGCCAGGTAGGAGTGGAGGTTCAGTTCCTTACTCAACAGGGGAGTGGGATGAGGGGAGAAGCGAGAGGATTAAGGCTAGTAGTGTGGAAAATCAATTGGCCATAATGTAAGAACTTTTATTTCTTGGATTCAATTCCATGGATCTATATGTCTCTTATGACAGTACTACACAGTCTTAATTACTATAACACTGTAGTATGTTTTGAAATTAGAAACTTTGTTCTTTTTCAAGATTGTTTTGGCTATTTTGGGTCCCTTGTATTTCCATGTGAATTTTAAAATAAGCCTGTCAATTTCTGCACATAGCACAACTTGAATTTTGATAAGGATTATGTTGAATCTGTATACCAATTCAGGCAGTATTATTAACAATACATAACACATCTTCTGAGTCCATGAACATGGGAAGTCTTTCTATTTATTTAGGTTTTCTTTAATTTCTTTCAACAATCTTTTGCAGTTTTTAGAATTCAAGGCTTACACTTTTTTGTTAAATTTATTCCTAAGTACAGACGGTCCCCAACTTATGATGGTTCAACTTACAATTTTTTGACTTTACGATGGTGTGAAAGCAATATGCATTTACTAGAAACTGTACTTCTCTCATGATGCTGGGCACCTCCCAGTCAGCCACACATTTTTGACTTACAATATTTTCAACTTGTAATGGATTTACCAAGATGTAACCCCATTGTAAGTGGAGGATCATCTGTATTCATTCCTTTTAATGCTTGTGTACCTTGGATTTTTTTTTTCTTTGTTCTTTTTTTTTTTTTGCCCAGTGCCATTTTCAGATTGTTTATTGCTGGTGCATAGAAATTCAATTGATTTTTCTATATTGGTCTTGCATCTTGCAACCTTTTTAAACTCATTTATTCTAATTTTTTTACTCTGTAGGATTTTCTGTATCATCTGCAAAATATATATAGTTTTAATCTCTTTATTTTAATCTGGATTTCTTTTAATTTTTTTTTCCTTGCCAAATTGTCCTGGCTAGCACCTCTAGTAAATAGTTAAATAGAGGTGGTGACAGCAGACATCCTTGTCTAATTCCTGATCTTAGGGAGAATGCTTTCAGTATTTCACCATTAACTATAACATTATCTGTGGGTACCATACAAACTTAACAAAACAGCTTTACGTTTCTGAGCTTTCTGTCTAGTTAAAACAGACTTCTCAAAGTTAAACATATGTTCACCTAAAATTTCCTCTAGAATTTTTATAATTTTATTTTTAATTTTATTTGTTGTATTTTTCAGCTCTATAATTCCTTTTTGGTTCTTTTTTTATAATGTCTATTCCTTTACTGAGAATGTCTATTTTTAAAGTTGTCTTATGAGAATTTGTTCAAACTTGATGTATTTTCATGATGGCTGCTTTAAAATTCTTACCAGATAATCCCAGCATCTAATTCAACTCAGTATTTGTGTCTGTTGATTGTTTTTGGGTTTTTTTCATTCAGATTGTGATTTTTCTGATTCTTGGTGTTATAAGTGATTTTTCCATTGTATTCTGGGCCTTTGGGATATCCTGAGACTCTGGACCCTATTTAACTCTGTTTTAGGAGGCAGTCCCCATGTTGAGGTACAGCATACAGAGCCCTTCTTTGAGCTCCACCGACATCACCTCAGCAAAAGTACAGCACTGATTCTCACTCATTGCAGAAAGGTGGGGTAGATGTTCAGCTTGCTCCTTGGCCCCACTGAGAGCTTCTTAGTGAAAGTGGGGTACCCACTTACACCACCTCATTGCTGTTAAGTAGCTGTGTAAGTTCGGTACCCCACTAGGCCTGGCAGACACCAGAAGAGGAGATGGGAGGAACAGAGTCCTATCTCACACCACTCACTCCACCTCATGAGGCCAGATGGGTGTGGAGGTTCAGCTCTCTCTTTGGCTGCTGACACCAAGGGGAGAGGATGAAGGATGGTGGAAACAGGCCTTGCCTGGCACCTCCTCTTTAAGTCAAGCATTGCTGGATGTGGACAGAGGATCATCTCACCACTGGACCCTCCTGGCATTGCTCAGGCAGAGGAATTAAAGCACTGCCTACCTCTATTGGGTAAGGAATGGAAAATCAGCTCCTCTCTCAGTCCCTGAAGGGGAATTGGAGTTACCGACTTCCTCTAAGCAGGGAATAGATCAGCTTCCCTGCTGGCAGGAGAATTGGAGCGTCACCTCCACTTTCACCCAGTGGTTCACCACAGGAACATCAAAACACAGAGATTCTTAGGCAGCCTGTGTTTTTCCTACCTTTCAGGGTCTTCCTATGCTCATTTGTTGTGTTATGTCCAGGGCCATTTAATTGAAAGAAGGAGGACCTAGAAGAAATGAGTCTACTTCATCTTGGCTAGGAAGGAAAGTTTTACTTTTGTGTTTTATGTTTAAGTCTTCAATACATCTGAAATTTATTTTTGCATGAGGGGTAATGTAGGGTCCAACTTTATTTCCTTTCTGTTGGATAGCCAGTTGTATCATTCTAATTTATCAAAGAAATAATCATTTTTATATCCAAATAATACCTGTTCTGTATATTAACTTCCAATATATACTGGGGTCTCTTTCTAGCTTCCTTATTCTGCTATCACCATACTGTTTTGATAACAGGAGTTTTGTAGCATATTTTACTGTTAAGTGAGGCAAGTACAGCCTTACTGTTTTTACTTTCAGATTATTCTTGGATACATACCCTTCTTTATAAACTTTAAAGTCATTGTGCTGTGGAGGTTAACTTTGGCAGGCCTGGAATTGGCTTGAACTCTTTTACTAAAATAAGAGATGAATCTTCATGGCATTGACCCCAGTCAAGGTATAAAATGTCCTGATTAATAACATTGCTTTGTAACCATGGTCTACACATATCCCTTCTGTTCATGTTGCATCAACAAAATCAAATTACATGGTCATGCCTGACTTCAAAAGGTGGGAATATAATCCTCCTGTGGGGAGGGCTTTGGGGTGTTGGATAACATTAACCCACCTGTTGTGTTAGTCTTCCTGGGCTGCCACAACAAAATACCACAGACTAGATGGCTTAAACATTTATTTTCTCACCGTCCTAGAGGGTCTAAGATCAAGGCGTCAAGGTTGGTTTCTGATGAGACCTCTTCCTGGTTTGCAGACAGCCACCCTTTTAATGTCCTTACATGGCCTTTCCTCGGGGCTCGCTCAGAGAAAGAACTCTCTGGACTCTCTTCCTCTTCTTATAAGGATCTTAATTTTATCAGATTAGGCATCCACTTTTGTCTCATTTCACCTTAATTATCTCCCTAAAAGCCTCATCTCCCAATTTAGTCACATTATGGGTTAGGGCTTTAACATGGGTTAGGGCATTAACCTATGAGGATTTTTTTTTGGCAAGGAGCAGTGGGGAGGAGACACGATTCAGCCCCTAACACCTGTAATGTGTTATGGGATGCTATGATGCATTGTTCAGATCTCCCTTCAGAACTGGGGCATTCATTGCCACAGCTGCTGACTCACAGCTGAGTCCTTCTCCAGGAACTGCCCTTGGCCAAAGGGAGAGGCCTCACCCAATGTCATACCCTATTCTTGGGGCATCTTGCTTCAACTAAGACAACTCCAGGGTTCAGTTGTAGAACCAACTGAGGTCTCCATGGCAG